ACTCTGCCTCCTTGGTCTATAACTCACTGGAATATCATTGCCTGTTCAAGGACATCACCTCTAAAATATTATCTTTGCTTTTAACAGCGGTCGACTGACTCAACAAGGATATTTGGACTCTGTCATGAGCATTGCAGGGGCCTTCTGGCAGTGGAGAGTCCCTTGGAGCAAACCCTGCCCATCCCAGTCATGCCAGTGGTCCCCCCGGGTGGGATGCTGGGGGTGCGACACAAGGCGGCACCACCAGCTGTGGAGGACCACCCTGACCTGCCTGTGTTATGCACCACCAAGATCACCTTGGGCATGATAAGACTAGATATAAGGAAGACATTTTTTACCCTGAGGGTGGTGAAACACTGGCCCAGGTTGCCCAGAGGGGTGGTGGATGCCCCATCCCTGGAAACATTCCAGGTCAGGTTGGAGGGGGCTCTGAGCAACCTGATCGAGTTGAAGATGTCCCTGCCCACGGCAGGGGCGTTGGAGTAAATGGCCTTTAAAGGGCCCTTCCAACCCAAACCATTCTATGATTCTATGAGCACGAGCTGTCCCAGTGCCTATAGCCTTTGTCCGAACTGGTAAGACTGGGTTGGGTTCACTGCTCTGTCCCTGGCGCTATCTGCTGAGTGTCAGGAGGTGCACGTGAGGCTGATGTTTGGTGGCAGTTTAAGTGGCACAAGCAGACCTGCCAGCAGCCCCCTGTGTTTCTCTGCTGCAGTCCACCCATCCCGCGTCCCCTCCTCACACTCCAACGTTCACAGCAGCTTTTGGGGAGCCACCCAGATTAAACCAACCCAAAAAGAAGAGGGGAAAACCCATTTTTTTGGAGCCCACATCTATTCCCTGACCCATCAGTTACACCGTAGACTAAGTGCTAAGAATATTAGTCATAGCAAGGTTTGGCTCTACAGCTTGGATTAAATCAAATAACTGATTTAAAAGCAACGCTCAGACTTGGCTCTGCAGTGACTCCTTGGACTCTGCAGGCATCACTCGAGGAAGCGGCGCACGGGGCTTGGGGCAACACTTTGCATTTGGGAAGAGCAGCTCTTTCCCGCTGGTTCGCTCTCTGGCGCAGGGTTGCATCAGGGTGGGTGTTAATTGCATTTCTGGAAATCAAAGCAGCCAGCGCTGGGACTGTTTGCTGATTTTTGCTTTGCTGCTTTCCCCCAAGCACTACCCGTCAGCCGGCTTTGCTTTCCCATCTGCACAGGAAAATACTTCACCCGGAGTGATCTTTCCCCAGGGACCCCCAAGCTGCCCCGAGCATTCACCCCTTTCCACAGGCTTATCCTGCTGCCTGAGTGTGAGGTCCTGCAAAGATGGATGCTGCCATGGAGAGTTTACTTAATGCCAATCCTGGGCACAAATCCTGGGAAAATACACTCAGAATTGGCTGCAGCAGGGGCAGGGGGCAGTGGGATGCAGAGGGTGGGAAAGAAATGGAGAAATGGGAAGATTTAACAGCACGATCATTGCTCTCCCTGTGTGTTTTGGTGGTTTTTTTCTTTTAAATGCTGGAAAAAAGCCCTTTAGGAGGATGCGGACCATCACATCACAGCACTTCCCACCGCCGCTGGGCATGTCTGCTGAGTGCAGGGCTGCATTTGGGGGTGCAGAGGCTGCAGGGAGCCCTGATGCCGTCCTCCATCTACCCCCACGTCCCAGCATGGTGGGAAGTCCAGCCTCACTGGAGGGGTCTCACCTCCTGGCAGCTCCACCAATCACCCCTGTGAAACAGCCTTTGCATCTCTCACTGCATGTAGATCAGGGGCTTTCCAGGAGTTTCTCAGGAGAGTCGCTACCTGCAGGCTTGGCTCAGCAAACCTCGCTTCCCCCCAGCTAGCTGGACTGGATGCAAGAGAGATGTTTAGGTTCCTCCTCTGCTGTGAGACTGTTATGGCAACACGCTCACATTCAGCCCCTCAAGGAGAGGAAACCACCGAACCCCTGCTTAGGGGTTTGGGTTTGGTTTGTTTTTGCTTTTCCAAAGGGAAAAATACACCACTGCACAGCGGTGATCCCTGCGGAGACAAGCAGTTGCATCAAGCACACGTGGCCTCTTCCAGGGCACCTTGCCTGCAGCCCTGAGAGTGCTTTGCTAACGTCACACCTATTTCCCAACGGAGGAATTGGGTGTATAAACCACTTTTCCCCATTTGCTCAAGTTTTGGGTGCCCGGTTGGCACAATCCCAGGGTGGGATTCAGCTCTGCTTTGGCAGCCAACAATTCAGGTGTGTTTAGTGGATCCTAATTAGATGCTCATCTAATGGATACTCCTGGGGCAGAAGAAAAAGCAGAGGCAGGGACAGACTCGGAGGGCTGCGTGTCACCCTACGGACGAAAAAGGGAAGCTGGGGGCAGCAGTACCCACCACCACCACCCTGGTTTCCAGCAGGCAAAGCAGGCAGGGTTGCTGAGGTCATTTTGCTCCTTGTGACAGCCACCTGTTTGCCCTGGGAGCTGCCTGCTTCTTTGCTCGCGCATCCAGCTAGCCTCAGTTCAGCATCAAGTGCCTGGCACCTCAAAAACCAAAGCACTCAAAGCAAAACAGAGTCCAAGCTGAGGCCGTTGAGCCCGTCAGTGGCAGAAGAGGGGAGCACATCCCACCTCCATCTTGATGGGACTTGGGCAAACTCCTCCGGATGAAGCCCCAGCCCCTCTGCGTCAGTCCTGCTGGGAGGTCTGAGAGGTCTTTTAAGCTGAAAGAGGGTAGGTTTAGATTGGACATAAGGAAGAAACTCTTTACGATGAGGGTGGTGAGATGCTGGCACAGGTTGCGCAGAGAAGTTGTGGATGCCCCACCACAAGGAAGTGTTCAAGGTCAGGTTTGAGGGGGCTTTGAGCACCCTGGTCTAGTTGAAGATGTCCCTGCCCATGGCAGGGGGGTTGAACTAGATAAACTTTAAAGGTCCCTTCCAACCCAAACCAGTCTGTGATTCTATGATTATATGGTTTAAACAGCATATTTGCCTTCTGCTGAGCTCGGGCAGCAGGACAGCATTTCCCCCACAGGTCCACCTAAACTCCCACCCATCAGTACCAACCCCCCGCCCCGCACCAGCTACTGGGTAGGGCTGGCAGTGGTGGGAGGCAGAAAAATCCTGGATGTGGAGTAAGTAAGAAGACTCCTTGCCAAAGAAATTATCTGAAGCAGGTGGTTCCAGCTCAGAGGAACTCAATTTATATTCCCAAATGACGTGCCGGGAGCTGCTCACAGCTCCATCAACAAGCACGATGCAGGCGAGGCAGATGTTTCAGCGAGTGCCAGCAGCTGGAATAGGATCGCTGGCTCAGCTCGCCTGCACCCATCGCTCCAGACAGTAATTTGGGAAGTCAGTGTTCAAGGCTCATCCCAAGGGAGCCTGTATCGGGTGGCTGCAGGTCTGGCTGGCAGGATCACACAGCCCTTTCTGAAACAAAGCGGGGTAGCGGCATGTGAAGCCGGGCGGGAGGCGAGGCTCCTGGATTATTTATAGGCTCAAGCCTTGGAAAGGATCTCGGCGCAGAAAAGCACAGGGTATATGGGCTGTGCATGGCGCAGAAGGAGCCCCATGATGGTGATAATGGGGTCGTGCCGGTGCCAACCACATTGCAGGAGTGCCTCTCCCCAGGGCATGTCCCTGCCAAACCTTATTCGGCATGGGGGAATGGCAAATTTTTGGGGATGCCCAGGCTCAGTGTGGCGGGACGTGACTTGGGGAAAACGAAGCCCTGTGAAGGGTGAAGGACACAAGGAGCATGCTAGCGGGCAATGCAAGGCACGAGGCTTGCCTACCGAAGCAGACGTCGTCGGCACAGGTGAACTTTTGGGTCTGGACGGGGAAGGAGGG